TTTATTGGGTCTGAGGTATCTAATTCACTGCGTTGCAAACTTTTGACTGAAATTATAATACCCTTTTGCTCTGCAAGGGTATAAAAACTGACGTCGTTAATAACTAACAGCATTTCGGAGGAAATTAAATTTTTGAAATGTGCAAATGTAAATTTTACAAAAGTTGAGGATATAGTGGTACCACAGGAAATAATGTAAAAATTCCAGGAAATGTTAGGAAACCGTACGGGGTTATTTGCAGAGCCAAACGAAGCGCTGCCGTACAATACTAACATTGTTGGTACTATCCGGACAGAGAATGAAGATCCGATATATTCAAAACCGTATCCATACCCGATGGGTGTGTCCGACTTTGTAAATACAGAAACACAAGCGATGTTACGAGATGGCATAATCCGACCATCTCGGTCTCCATATAACAACCCCGTTTGGGTTGTAGATAAGAAAGGGACCGATGAACAGGGAAACACAAAAAAACGCCTAGTAATAGACATCAGAAAACTTAACTTGAAGACAATAGACGACAAATACCCTATCCCGAACGTAGTTTTTATCTTGGCAAATTTAGGAAAGGCAAAATACTTTACCACATTAAATTTAAAGTCTGGTTTTGACCGAAAATGACAGAGAAAAAGCGGTCTTCTCAGTAGAAAATGGGAAATATGAGTTCTGTAGCATTTTTCAGAGAGCCATCGACGATGTGCTCAGGGAACAAATAGGGAAATCATGCTATGTCTACGTCGACGACGTAATTATTTTTTCAGAAAATATGCACGAGCATGTGAAACACATAGCATGGGTTTTAGACAAATTATATGAGGCCAACATGAGAGTTTCGTGCGAGAAATCTAATTTTTTTTTTAAAGAAAATGTAGAGTATTTAGGTTTCGTGGTTTCAAGTGAAGGCATAAGAACATGCCCTAACAAAGTAGATGCAATCCGTAACTACGAACAACCAACCACACTATTTAATGTCAGATCATTTCTCGGACTAGCTAATTACTATAGGTGTTTTATTAAAGACTTTGCATCTATTGCAAAACCTATGAGTGACATCCTAAAAGGAGAAAATGGCAAAGTAAGTGCAGGACAATCAAAGAAAATACCTGTTAACTTCGACCAAAATCAACGCCAGGCATTTGAAAAACTTAAGAGTGTTCTCGCGTCTGAAAACGTAATGGTATTATATCAAAACTACAAAAAAGCGTTTGACTTGACGACAGATGCTTCGTCTTTTGGTTTGGGAGCAGTCTTGTCACAGGACGGAAAACCCATAACCATGATATCACGAACTTTAAAGGACAGGGAACTAAATTTTGGAACTAACGAAAGGGAGTTATTAGCAATAGTATGGGCCTTAAAAAGCCTCAGAAATTATTTATACGGCGTGAAAAATTTAAACACTTTTACTGACCAACAGCCACTTACTTTCGCCGTCTCAGATCGCAATCCAAACGCAAAAATTAAGCGATGGAAAGCTTTCATTGACGAGCACAAGGCCCAAATTTTTTATAAACCAGGAAAAGAGATTTACGTCGCTGACGCACTGTCCCGACAGCACATCCACGCTCTAGAAGAGGATGCCCAGTCAAATATTGCCACAATACATAGCGAGCTATCACTCACCTACACTATTGAAAAAACAGACAAACCGGTCAACTGCTTTCGGAACCAGATAATCATAGAAGAAAGCGGAACTGCTTCAGTTAGAACGGTCATTATGTTTGGTGAAAAAACTCGACATCTCTTATATTTCTCGGATAGAGAAACACTTATACAGAGAGTATGCAATGTGGTCAAAAAAGACGTAGTCAATACAATTTTATGCGAACTACCAGTACTGGCATTTATCCAACATAAATTAATAGAAACTTTTTCGACAACCACATTCCGTTACACGAACCGTGTGGTGACTGACATCCTAGACAAAAACGAATAAAAAGAAATTACGGTGTCAGAACATAACAGGGCTCATAGTGCCGCTCAGGAAAACGTGAAACAGATTCTGCAAGACTATTTTTTTCCCAAAATGACTCACATGGCAAATGAGGTGGTCGCAAATTGTGAAATATGCTAGAAGGCAAAATACGATAGACACCCTCAGAAACAGATTCTCGGAGAAATACCCATTCCCTCGAACACAGGCGAACTCCTACACATTGACATGTTTTCAACAGACAAAAAATAATTTTTAACTTGCGTAGACAAATTTTAAAATTTTCATTTGTTCAACCAATCGCTTCCAGAACCAACCTTTAAAAATTTTTTTTTCGATTTTTTTCTTATTTTTTTTCTAAGAGAGCAGAGTTTTCTTTCGTTTGGGATCTCGTTGTTACTTTCAATATGGAGCATATTTATACCCTTGCATAGCGAAAGGGTATTATAATTTCAGTCAGAAGTTTGCAACGCAGTGAAGGAGACACCTCAGACCCCATAAAGTATATATATTCTTGATTAGCATCACGAGCAGAATCCATCTGCCCATCTGTCCGTCTGTCCGTTTCCGCGCAAACTAGTCTCTCAGTTTTAAAGCTATAGTGCTGAAACTTTCCCAAAAGTTGTGTAGTTGTTGCACGCAGTATATAAGTCGAAACGGGCCGGATCGGCCAACTATATCGGATAGCTCCAATACAAGAGAATGAAATTAAAAATTCTCACTCTGTTGTTTTTGATCAGATCGACTTGAATTCTTCAAGATGGCGTTTTCTAACTGTTATTGAAATTCGGATTAACAAAATCGGATTTGAACAAAATCGGATAACTCTATCATATAGCTGCCATAGGAGAGATAAAAAAAATATATATAGAATTAATGGAAATAAATTGATAGCATCGTTGTTTTTTATCCCACGAGCATGATTTTTTGAATTTAAAGATTTTTAACAACCCTTATATTGAGAAAAAAGTTTCATAAAAATCGGTCAAATATATCTTATAGCTGCCATAGGAAAGATCGAAAAATCTATATAGAAATAACGGAAAGAAAATTATAATATTATAAAATTATATAACATCGTTATAATTATAATTATAATTTTTAGAATATAGAGTTTTCAAACTACTCTTGAATTACGAATTAAATTTCATCAAAATCGGACAACTATATCATATAGCTCCCATATGATCTATAGTCGAAAATATAGAAAACGAATAGAAAAATCGTCTTAGCTTCGATGTTGTTTAGCCTTTATGTATTTTTTTCGACATATTTGATGACTGCAAGGATATATCAGCTTTGCCGAAGCTAGCTTCCTTTCTTGTTTTATATTAATTTTCCACATTTTCGACTATTTTTTATATGGCAGCAATATGATCTAGTTCTCAAATTTTAATAAAATTTAATTTGTTATTCAAGATTCGTTGGAAAACTCTATATTCCAAACATCATGATTGTCTGATGAAAAACAACGATGTTATCATTTTATTTCCGTTATTTCTATGGCAGCTATATGATATAGTAGTCCTATTTTTATCAAATTTTTTTTCCCGATGCAAGGGTATTTAAAAAATTTGATGTTCTAAAATCATGCTCGTGGTAATAATAATTTTTTTTTCCATTATTTACATATATATTTTTTGGTCTTTCCTATGGCAGCTATGTTATAGAGTTATCCGATTTTGATAAAATATAATCCGAAATTCAAAAGTAGTTAGAAAATGCCATCTGGAAAAAATCAAGTCGATCTGATCAAAAACAACGCCGTGAGAATTTTTTATTTCATTCTCTCGTATGGGAGCTATCCGATATAGTCGGCCGATCCGGCCCCATCCGACTTATATACTGCGTGCAATAACTACACAACTTTTGGGAAATTTTCAGCAAGATAGCTTTAAAACTGAGAGACTAGTTTACATAGAAACAGACAGACGGACAGACGTACATATATACGAATTTGGGTTCTGATCGTGATGCTGATCAAGAATATATATACTTTATGGGGTCTGATGAGTCTCCTTCACTGCAAGGGTATAAAAACAAGAAAGAAAGCTAGCTTTTGGAAGCCGAAGCTTATATACCGTTGCAGTCATCAAATACGTCGAGCACAATACATAAAGGATATACAACATCGAAGCTATTCATTAATTATTATTATTTTCTATTACAGTCGAATCCCGATAATTCGTACCCCGCTAAATCGAAAATCGCGATAAATCGTAAAAAATTCTGTTCCCTTGAAAAAATATCGATAAATCGAATTCCCGTCTAATTCGTAAAGAAAGTGATCCCCTTGCCATTATCGGGACTCGACTGTAATTAATTAAAGCTATATCATATAGTCCTCCGATTTTTATGAAATTTACCTCCGAATTCAAGATTCGTTAGAAAACTCTATATTCCAAAATTCATTGCTTATCGGATGAAAAACCCTGAAGTTATCATTTTACTCTTGTTAATTCTATTAGATTGTTCTATCTTTTCTATGGTACCAAAATGATATAAATAATACAAATATTTTTTTCAAGATTCAAGAAGGGTAGTTCAAAACTCGATATTCTAAAATCTTGTTCGTGGAATAAAAAGCAACGACTTTATAATTTTTTGTTTCGTTTTTTAAATATATTATACATTTTTTTGATCTTTCCTGTGGCAGCTTTATGATATAGTCATCCGATTTCAATAATATAATTTGAGATTAAATTGAAGTTAAAATTACCATCTGGAAAGAACAATCCGATATGATCAAAAACAATGACGTTATCATATTTTCCCGTTATCTTTTTGATCTCTCCTATGGAAGATATCCGACGTTGTGAGCCGATCCGGCCCGTTCCGACTTATCAAACGCGTGCAATAACTACACCACTTTTGAATAAGTTTAAGCAACATAAAAAGACGGACCGACGCACGAAAGTACACGTCAAGCTCGATTCAAATCGTTATAGATCGAGAATAGCGTTTTCTTATAAAAAACAAAATAATTTAATCGGTTTCCTAACAAAAAAGGAAACCATTAAAGAAACAAACAAATTTTAGTTACAAAATCATTTTGTTTACTCACAATACTCCAATCCAAGTAAAGACTCGCGAAATATGCTCCAAGCTCTCTTTTCAGGCAATGGCTTATCTGTGGGAATTCTTAAAACTTCTCCTTGCTGTACCAGTTCAAAAACCATATATAATGAATCCTCAAGTGGATCATCTAACACTTCTATCAACTTCACGATATTGGGATGGTCAAGTTTTTTTAGAACGGCTATTTCTCTGTAAACCCGATCTAGCGGCGATGTTGCCTTTCTGGGTCCTCGTCGCATTAATGCAGCTTGGCGTAATAGACGCTTTTTTGAAAGAATTTTCATTGCGTAATGTGTTGAATCTTCTTCCGAGTAGGCTAACTTTACAAGTCCATAAGAACCCTACAAAAAGTAAAGGGTAATTGTTATTGTGATCTTTGTGTAACATTAACGAATGTTCAAACGCGGTGTCTTCGCTACTGAAGATAAGGATGTAAAAGTAACTGCTTCCGTTACTGTCAGCAAAAAAAATATATGCTTTTAAGGCTTTAGGCAATTATTTATTAAGATTATGTTATGGAGAATGAAGCCAAATATGCCTGGTAATAAGGTGTACGGTAGTAAATTTTTTTTTACCCAAGTTCGCTAGAACGACAGAAATATTGGCCAAGAAATCGTCGTTCATTGCGTTTATTGAAACCTGGACTTTTTATTCATTTTTATTGTCAACACCCATGTAGTGCTGTTAAAAGTTTCCCTTAAGGGGTTATATCCAGTTGCGAGGCCAAAAAAATGAGCTTTTTTGAAAATTATTTTTGGAGAGGCTATTTATTGTATGTATACGTGTTGTATATGAAAAGATAGGTAATTTTTTCTAGTTTTAGAATACATTTAAAAAAAAAATTTTGGACTCCGTCAGTCCTGTAGAGGATCTTCTGAGGGTCCATTTAAAATAGGTGTTTTGCGGTGAGGAAGATATCTCTGATCCAAAGTATCAGAAATACAAAAAACCAAAAGGATTACGCAAAGAATAGACAAATACTGGTAATGACAAGTGCGATTTTCAAAATTTTGATTTTTGACAAAATGGCGGCTTCCCAAACATAAAACTTTGTTTTTGGCACAAAAATTTCAACTTTGAAGTGGCTAAAAAAACCGAAATTTTTGTCGGAGCCAAAATTCCCTGTGTCATTACCTGAAAAAAATATCTAAGAAGAGAATGTGAAAATTTCAAGTCAATCGGTCAAGCCGTCTCGGAGAAATTTTCCTCAACGACTTTGAAGACATCGTTTCGAGAAAAACGCATTTAAAGTGTTGGCTACTAGTTGAACTACGTGGGAGACGTCTTTATAAATACACTCATTACTCCAAAACTATTTACCGGAATACTGTGAAATGTTCAGACAATATTCTTAGATATATATATACATTCAAAATTGGCAAAAAAAATTTCGATTTTTTCAAAATTGCAACTGGATATAACCCTTTAAGGGGTTATATACCTTTTTCACCAGAGAAATACAGGGTTTTTATTTATTTTTTTTTTTTAGCATGTTACCATTGTTTTATTTAAATACAATATAAATTTTATCAACGTATGTGTCCTTAAGTAAATTCGTATAAAATTTCGAGTGAAAATATTCATAATTGTGGAAGTTATAGTCCTTGCCGCAGAAGTCTTTTTTTCAGTAGTGGCTCACGGTGAGCATGAAAACAAGGAAACGGCTCAACAGAAAAAAAAAACTACGTTAGTATATAGTGTTACCTAGTTCGTGAACGAAGGATTTTACGAAAAAAAAATTTTTACAGTTACAGTGATTATTTTTTTAAAAAAAAACGATTTTTCGAGGTCTAATAATTTAGTTTTTCGCCTGAAAAAATAGAAATTTTGTCGAAAATAAAATTCCTTCGTTCAGGAACTAGCTATTGTATCTACAAACAATCCCCCAAAATTTCAAATCGATCGATGTAGTGGTTACCTAGATATCGTGCTCATCGCAATGACCTTTTCTCAAAAATGCGATTCCGAGATAATCGCGTTTAAAGTTTAGATTGTGACTATAACAAAGTAATTAAATGGATTCGCCTCGTAAAGGATAAGAAATCACTTGTATCATCAATAAAAAAATTGATTAATTTCACAAATCCACATTGTCGCAGTCGTGGGGCCTATGTTTTTGGGCACGAAATGGTAGCACAGTGAGACGTTTTGCACAAAATATACGTATTCATCAGGTTAGCGAAAAAATTGAAGATACCTCAAAAACCTATAAAGGGGAAAATCAAAAATATAAGGAGCAATTATAAAAAAATCATGAGCTTGCAATTATTTTCTTTAAATGTTATTAACTCTGACGTGTTTTTTGACTCAACAGCAGTTTTCCTGCTCACCTGCACTGACGATCAAGCCTCTAAGTGTATTCTTATCCTGCAAAAAATTACAGGTAAAAATATCCAGCTTTAACTCGGTTTTTCACAACAAATTTGTGTGAGTTGAATTCTGATAGGAAAAAATAAAGGAGGAGGAAAGTTTGTTAAGGCAATTTCTTTGTAATGTTTACTGTTCTTTACTCTTTTGTAAAATTTTCACAAGCTGGTCGAACACAGAGTTTCAAAATGCGTTTAGATCATCAATTTAATTATTGTAACGAATACAAGTCGTAATATCTAAAGATGATAGGTCTGGGGTAAGGCGGCAAACCTGACGGGCGTTCACTTCATTTCAGGATGGTGAATGGTTTAAGAAATTAAAAAGAAAAAAAAATATTTTTTGGTGTAAATATCGTAAAGCATATAAGATTAAGAAGCTCTTGGAAGTCATATGATACGAAGTTGGATTTTTATGGAAATAACTTTTTAATATTTTATCTATTTAATTCTTCTCTGCGTTGGTAATAAGTTAAGCCCACATGTTGTCTTCTAAAACAATTACTTAATATTCTATTGAATAGATGTAATAAATAAAGGGGTTAGAACAAAAAAAAAAAAAATTCTTTACAACATCAAAGCTATAATGTCTATTCTATTATTTTTCTATAATTTTGATTTTCATAAATTCGAAATTCATGAGTCTTGGAAAAAAACCACTCATGTCCTTGTGATAAAAAAAAGGCTTATAATTTTTTCCCGATATTTTCGCATTTGCCAAAGGCATTCTTATAAAGATCAAACTTCTATGTCATAAAGGTATCATAAAAGAAAAATCAAATTTCGACGAATTAACAATGGAAAACATTATGAAAAAAACTTATTGCCGTAAACTTATTATGAGTTTAGTCTTTTTCACCATTTAAGCTTTTAGTGCAAGGCTATATAACCTTCAATTGCTAAATTCGTGTCCGAATCTTCGATTTAGAGAAGTAAAAAGAATGCATCTATGCCTCTAGTGTCTGTGCAAAAGGCATGACACCCCGTAATCTACCTCATTTTCATCTCCATTGACCGACCTACTCATGAACTCTAAATATTAGGTTGTTTGCTAATGACATACCGGTTTATACATTCAAATTTATATCGTTTGAAAGGTATTGGCATCACCTTTAAAATGACATTTAGTTTGTTTACATGAACTTCCACGTTAAAAATTTCGATTCAAACCGACGAATAGTGGTTTAGGCAATTCTGAAGTGGCAATTTTGATACCGAAACACCCAAGCCTTCCGGACGACCAGTGACCGTTGATACGGACAAAATCATGGAAATAGTGGATCGAGATCGTCATGTGACTATTAGAACCATCGCAGAGGAGCTGAAACTAAGCACGGAAACCGTCCATAGGCATTTAAAGTCGAAAAATTTAACAAAAAATCTCGATGTATGGGTGCCTCATGAGTTATCCCAAAAAAACCTTTTCGACCGTTTATCAATCTGCGAATCTTTGTTGCACCGTAATAAACTCGACTCATTTCTGGATCGGTTAGTCACTGGTGATGAAAAATGGATCACATATGACAACGTAAAGCGTAAAAGATCCTGGTCGAAGCACGGTGAGTCGTCTCAAACGGTGGCAAAGCCACGACTGACGGCTCAGAAGGTGTTGTTGAGTGTATGGTGGGATATCAGAGGAATTATCCATTATGAAATTTTGCCCTATGGCCAAACCATCAATTCTGACCTTTTCTGTGAACAACTGGAGCGATTGAAGATTGCACTTGAACAGAAGAGGCCAGCCATGGTGAATCGTAAGGGCGTTGTGGTCCATCATGACAACGCCAGGCCCCATACATCTGTGGTGACGCGTCACAAGCTACGGGAGCTTGGTTGGGAAGTGTTAATGCATCCACCTTATAGTCCGGACATTGCCTCAAGCGATTACCATCTGTTTTTGGCCATGCAAAATTTTTTCGATGCACAAAAATTGAGTTCAAGGGAGGATTGTGAAAATCGAATCGCCAAGTTCTTTGCCAGTAGGGACAGGGACTTCTTTAGGAGAGGCATATACAAGTTACCATCAAAATGGCAATAAATCATCGAAGACAACGGTACATATAGCACTTCAATCGGACAATGCTAACTATGTTAAAATCGTCGTCAAAAATCAATAAAGAAACCGGTATGTCATTACCAAACTACCTAATATTACCATCTACTTCATCATCAGATTAACTTTATTTTGTCGCATCAGGGGCCAACTAAAGTTGATGCATAGGCTTGCACTAATTTTTTGGATTCCCAATTCCATTGCGTACATAAGCAAGTCATTGATGGGTCTGCTAAGACGACTTCTGGTAGCTCCCTAAAATTTTTGTTTCGTGCAGGCCCTTCGTGAAAACGTCTACCAGATGTACCGCAGGGCACGGTTTTCGCACTTTTTGCTGTGTTTCGTTTGGCGAAAGCCTTGTCCCTTTTTTTTTTGGCTAAAAGAGCAATACATCAGCTCTTTTATTATGAAGATAAATAATTACCAATTGGAGTACAAATTGTTGGTAGATATTTTTTGTTTTTTACGCGCGTGTCCCACGGCCACACCTCCCGCCCAAACGACCGAGGGGCGCTGACGTGTATCGTACGGCTCGGCTCGCGAGAAAAGAGTCGCGACTAAGAAAAATAAAAAAAAAGGCCGAGGAAAATGAGGAGGAATACAATGAGATCTAATTATGAGCTAAAAAAGTCAGAAGAGATCGCTTTAAGAGCGGCAGAGAGTCAGAAATAGATATAATAGGATAAAGTCTATTATAGTCAGAACACAATACTCTGTAGGGATCATGCAGTTCATAGTTAGATCTACATTGATTTAAAATTAGGGGGATGTAATTTCTGGTTAATCTACTTGGAACAGAAAAGTTTAGCCTGCTAACTAAGTCGGGGCTATCAATTTTACCACAAATAAGATTAAACATAAAAACTGTTCCAAACATCGTTCTACGGTTGGCTAGGGAGGGTAAATTAATTATAAGTAGTCT